ATCTTATTAGAGATACAAATGAACACATTTCATCAAATTTGTTTCAGGTTTTGCTAGAGAATCCTCATGTTCGTTTCAAAGATGATCTGCCATTTCCACTCATTTCCATGATTTGTATCAGAGGGTTTTTTGATTGAAGTTTGTTTGTTTGAACTCACTTCTTGTGTAAATAAGAAAGACTCTGGATCTTATAAACAGTGTCCGTCCTCCTAATTTCTGGCATTTTATGATTCAGTTCCTGTATGGATTTTTTTAATGGACCAATATGTAGAAAATCAGTGAGTGTGTTTTTAGTATCTTGAGTAATTGATTTCACTCTATGTTTACTAGTTTATTTCTTATCATTAAAAAAAAATTTAAGTGTATTTATTTATTTTGAGAGAGAGAAAGAGAGAGAGTGAGCACAGTGGCGGGGTGGGTTGAGGGGGGGGCAGAGAGGAGAGACAGAATCCCCAGCAGGCTCCACACCACCAGCCCAGAGCTCAACACGGGGCCCAATCCCATAAACGGCAAGACCACAACAAGAGCTGAGACCAAGAGTCAGACACCAAACTGACTGCACCACTCAGGTGGCCCTTTACTAGTTTATTTTTATTTCCAATGTGAAGTCCAGAGTTAAAACCACAGAATCACTTTAAATCATATTTCATTATGCCCACTTCTTGCTATGTAATTAATTTCTAAATGCCTCTGGAGTTCATTTAGGTGACGATCCTATCATAAACCAAAATTTGGTCTTAAAATCATGGACTTTAACCGTCTCTTTGCCATACAGAATGGCTCATCATGTGGTCTGGCCACCAAACCTGCATTTTCTAACGCAAGATAACTCCAATTTTCTTTTTCACATCACAATTCTCGGCTCCTATAACATTGTCTTAACTATGCATATAACTGATTTTGTGCATATCAACCTGTTAATAACATCTCAAAACCCGCAAGATGAACTAAGTTTTAAGCTTATATTTTGTATGGATGACTTACTATTTCTTTTTAGTCACTATGAAACTCCACGTCCTATTTCTGTCACTCATAAAATGTTACCAGTGGAAAAATTACTCTGTGAAATGGTTTCCTCTCTCCCCTATCCGTACCTAGCTGCCCCTCTGTTTTGTATAAAAGATATTGAGTTCCAATGTTTGATTCCAGACATTTCTCATGGCGTTTTTCATCTCTGAGTTCCTCAGAGTGTAGATGAAGGGGTTGAACATCGGAGCGATGATGGTGTAAAACAGAGCAAATACCTTATCCTCAGGGAAAGTGGTTGGAGGCCGAAGGTAGGCAAAGACCGAAGGCCCAAAAAATAAAACTATCACAGTGATATGCGACCCACAGGTAGAGAGGGCTTTGCGCCTTCCTTTGGCTGAATGATTTCTTAAAGTGAATAATATAATGACATAAGAAAAAAACAAGACCACAAATGCCACTAAGGTAACCATTCCTGAATTGGCAACCAAAAGGACACCGGTGACATAGGTGTCAGCACAGGCAACTTTTAGCAAAGGAAAAATGTCACAAAAATAGTGGTCAATCTCATTAGGACCACAGAAGGGCAACCTGATTACCAGAAAAAATTGAGGAAAGGAGTGCGCGGCCCCACCAGCCCAAGCAGCTAAGACGAGGAGATTGCACCTTGCTCTGTTCATGACAAGCAGGTAGTGGAGAGGTTTGCAGATGGCAGCGTAGCGATCAAAGGCCATGACGGTGAGGATTAAGACTTCAGTCATTCCGAAGAAGTGCATGGTAAAGACCTGTAACATACAGTTACCATAGGAGATGGCTTTTCTTCCCACTAGGAGGTCAGCAATGAATTTGGGTGTAATGCTAGAGGTGAAGCAGATGTCCATACAGGATAAGTGGCTGAGGAAATAGTACATTGGTTGGTGGAAAAGAGGGCTGCATCGAATAGAGATAAGGATCAGAAGGTTTCCTACCAAGAGAGCAGCATAACAGAATAAGAAGAACACAAAGCAAAATATTTGTGTGCGATGGTCATATGAAAGTCCCAAAAGAATGAATTCTGAGACATTCCTCTGACTCTCCATCTGTTTCAGACTCGCGTATATTATAGACGAATGGGTTAAATACCTGAAAAGAAAGAAAACATGAATCTTTATTAAAAAAATTAGCAGCATGGCAACAATAATTAAAATTCACTAAAAAAGTAAA